TTATATATACTGGAATATCTAATATGATTCATAATTTGATCGTCAAAATTCCTATTGACAAAGAGTCATCTTGTATATATCTGATTATTTTGATTATTTTGATTATTATTATTATTATTATTATTCTGTATATCTGATATTCAAGCGACACACAGGTATGACATAATTTTAATAAACTCACATGCAAACGTGCTTCGAAGAATTCCAAGATACTTTTTTTTTCTTTGGTCTTTGTTAAAAACCTTAAATTGTTTATATTACCTTGAAGAAAATATATAAATTTTCTTCTCTATTACTGGTTCTTAAATCACATGACTTATATATTAACATTTAACGTTAACATTTACAATGTTAAACCAATTTTTCATTAGCGATTATCAAAATGTCCAAATCACTACCTGCTACGTATAATTAATAATGAATGTACAGTACATATGTACTGACTGTGTGTACTGACTGTACGTAATCATAAGTGATCATAAGTATTCATAAGTAATCATACATGTGTTTACTACGTACTCACACTACGTTTACTACGTACTCACTACGACTACTGCGTATAATAAACTGCGTTATGCATGTGTGCATATAAACTGCGTATCAAGTATATGCGTATATAGTACATATAGTACATATAGTACACACTGTACAGCTGTATACAGTATCTAACTATACTCATACTATATACTCATACTATACTCATACGTAGAGGTATCAATTTTTCTAAAAGAACCCCAAAAAAATCATCTTAATCGTGACACAATCGTATCAAAAAAATCTGTGGCGTTAATGCTTTTTATAAATCATGCGCATTTCTTCTTTTTAACCAATTTGTTACGGGGAAAATTTAATGATACCATAATATATATTGGTACCACTTTAACTCTGGTTTTTGTTCCCCTTTCACATGCCTATATTTATCTACCTCAATAATATATGCTCATCTTTGTATATTTGTTTGTTTGATTGTATCGTTATTTCTTCGTCATGAAAAAAAAAAAAAATTTCTTGGCTAAAATGTACTGTATTTTTCCGCAAAAATATGATATCATACAAGCGATTGCACTACAATACCTCTTCAAAAACACATGTAAAAAAGATTAAAGATCTTATCATTATTTGTACCCTTATTTTTGTTACTACTATTACTACGTACTGTTACTGCTGTATTATGCTTATGTTAAAATGCCCTTGTGATTTCCGCAGTGTTCTTGTCTTTCTTGTCCTCAGGTAGTGTTACCTAAACAAGTGACGTTACAAATTTCTCGATTTACTTTGTCTTTTTTATTTTCTTTGTTGTTCTTGAATCTTGAAAAAAAAAAAAAAAAAAAAGTTTAAATATTAATTACATTAATTTGATATTTCTCGTGTGCATTCGTGCAGAATTACAGAATAATGGTTGATATACGTTTACGAATAAAATTTTACGATTCAAAGAATCTACCTATATTTATTATTATTTCCATGAAATTTCCGTGTAACATGTCTTTAAAATGAATTTTTTAATACGTAACAATATACTTGATAATTCTTGCTAATTATAGTAAATTTATCAAGAAACTTACATCTCCGAATATTACATCTTTTAATCAATTCTTTTTCCTTACAAATTTATGTAAATTAATTTATTTTCTTTCCGAATAATTTCGTAAGTACAATTATTTAATGCATGCGAGTTACCGTTACCACAATATTTTTTACACCACGTTAGCAGTTGATCAAAAAAGACCAATGATTGTCAAGCCACTATCATCCTTTATGTGCCCTATTTTGGACGATGATCTCTCCTTTTTAAATTATTTTTATTATTTTAGATCAAATTTAGTTCAATTTATATCAAAATCAGCCCGTTCAAGCCATACAAAGCTCCGGTAATTCCGATCATGTGACTAAAAGAGAGAACGCGCACAGTATATAATTCACAATAATAAAAATTTTATAATGAATTTATATGTGTTGTAAAAATAAACTTATTTTCTTTGCATTCTACAGTCACTCTACCATATAAATTCTTTTATTTACGGAACTTTACTTCTCCGTTTCATTTTTTATTAACTTCACATAGCAATTTGGACGAATACTTTTTTAACAACAATAAAGTATGCGACGTGATTTACTTGTATTTCTGTATTTATCATTATAGTATCAGGTATATATATATTCTAATAATGCTGTATGTACAAAAAATTAAATAATGTATATAATGTATTATAATCAAATTTCTAATTCGCTTTTCTAAAACAGTAAACTATTACCTGTTTGATAATAATTATTTTATGTAATACTTGTATACTGTAATTAATTTTCTTTATTATTATTATTAAAAAAAATAATAATAATAATCGGTTAGATTTCTGAGCTATATAAGGATCATGTTGAGTCCGGCAAATTTTCTCTTTTTGACCATTTATTTATACACGTATTTATCATTTCTGTCAAAACGGTTTCACATTACTCTTAAGAACCAATCGCGACTTTTTTTGTCTCTTTTTTTTTTTTTTTTTTTTGATTATCTCTGTTTGTATTTTTTGATCCAATTTATTCAATTTGCTTGATTTATTTTGATTTATTGTATTTAATATTATATATTATATATAATATATCTAATATAAATTATTTTAAAATTGTATAAAAAAAATTTTTTTTTTTTTTTTGTGACCAACCAAAAAAGTACTGATTATTCTTTATTCTTTGTAGAATATTTTATTTCGTGTATATGCTGCATATATCGCGTAAACTATCAATCTATCCCTAATTTTATTTATATCATGCAATTATATCATATATTATGTGACCCATTATGGAATTAAAATGGTTTACGTGTGAAAAAAAAAGCTTTTAGACATTCATTTGACCTTTTTTTTTATAAAAAGAGGGCGTGAACTCGACGCCTTTTCTTGTTTATTCAACATTGTAACATACATACATACATACATACACCAATCTAAAGAAATTTCGGTTAATTCCAATTGTTTTTTTTTTCTTTGGCACTGTATAACTTTGATAAGATTTATATCATATGATTTATGCAGTTAATTGAATTTATTTTTATTATTTTTGAATCTTAACCTTTTATGAAATTTTTTTAATTCAAAGATTTTTTTTTTTTTATCTTTTTGATCATATAACTCGAAAGCCTTTCATTGGTTTACAATACACTTATATACTGTATAACTTTATTATAAATTTATTATACTGTGAATTTATTATAAATTTATTATACTGTGAATTTATTATAAAGCCATTATACTGTAAATTATTATAAATTATTATAAAATTATTATAAAATCATTATAAATTATTATAAAATCATTATAATTTTATTATAAAATCATTATAAATTATTATAAAATCATTATAAATTATTATAAAATTATTATAATTTTTTTATAAAGTTATATTAATACGAATATTTCTTCAAAACTTTCAAAGATCTATTTACTTTTCTTGAAATAGAACGGTTTCATAAAAGATGAATAATGATAAATAATGATGAATCAGTAAAAATGTTAATTGTTTAGATTTTGTTTACTTATAGTACATGAATATTTTTTCATGAATAGTACGTATACCCGAATATTATTATTTTTCGATCTCTTTATTGATGTATATAAATTTTTTTCTTTTCGGCCAACAATAACAAATGACTTTAATATCCGGTAATTTCCGTAGATAATGTTAATCTGTTCATCTGTTCAAGTTGAAATAGTTGAAATATATATACATATATAAAAAAAAACATACTACAGTACTATAGATCAACAAGATTAACAAGATTAATAAGATTAATAAGATTAATTGTTTCAATTCGTAAATCCGATGGTAATTACTTGTTTTGTACTACGCGTTCTCTAATTGTGCACATGATCGTAACCACTTTGAAATGTGTGAATCCTTAATTCGTTCTCAAAATGAACGAATAATTGTGCACGATAAAAGTTTTGAGGTTTTAAAGTTTCAGGTACATTGATAAAAATCAAAAGTCCAAAATTTAGATCAAAATGGGGTTCTCAAAAAAAAAAGTGTAATTCAAGTTATTATTCAAGTTATTAATTTAAAAAAAAATAATAATAATGCTGTATAATATATTTCACACGTTAGAATGATCTACAAATTAAAATGTTTCAAGTTAATTCTTTTTTTTTTTTGGGCAAAACTTTGTTAAAAATAGAACAAAAACAAACAATCTATAGGTAAAAATAGATTTAAGCATAGATCAACGATTAAAAAGCCACGTTATACAACTCTAAAAATAGATTCCTCTTTTAGTTCTTAATTGCAGCTTTAAATTTATTTTTAATTTCGATTCGAAACTGTTCCATAAAATATATTAATTAAATTTTTTTTTTTTTTTTTATTTATGTTTCTGTATTAAGTTTATTAAAAAATTTTGTAAATTCAATGATATTTGTTTAATTAAATCATTTTCTTTAATTTTTGTAATCGTCAACTGTATGAACTACGTGCGTTTTTTTGCAGCTTTAGGCGCATTTATTGATAAGATATCCCGTATAAAACATATTTACTTACGTACGTACGTACGTACGTAGTTGTGCTGTATATACACTGATATTTATATAACTGCTATATAGTTAACTACAAACTACGGCATAATTGTACCGTACGTGCTGCCGTAATTCTTCCGGTAAATCAATCCCATTAACAGTTAACAAAATTAATTTAGAAAAAATCGTCATCTATTTTAAGAAAAGCTAGGATGATTATTTTATTTGTTTATTCCTAAAATAAAATTCCCTAAATACGTATCTTTGATTTGCATATACAGAAATCGCCACGTTTGACGCCATTACAAAAAACTAAATAACGAAAAAAATTTTTTATAGTTTGATAAGTTTGATACATAATAGAAAAAAATAAAATTTATTTATTACCATTTTAATAAAATAAATATCTGTACACTTTGTAAAAATATCTGTGGGATAACATTGTAATTTTTTAAGATAAGGGTGGTAAACTAACGAATTCAAACATGAAACTGTTTAATCTTTATTTCTAAATTTTTCGAAATTGTCGCTTTCTTTCAATTTCCTAATTTATATCCAACTATACCACAAAAAAATTTAACATCTTATTGTTATTTTAATGTACCATTAAAATCTTTTAAATTTTAATGAATTTTTTGGAAGGTTATAGTTTTGAAACAGACAAAGGAATTAAAAGAAAGACAATGTTAAAAAAAACGTGTGGAAAGAAGGTACGTTACGTACGTACGTACGTACAATATATTCTAAATAAGTATACTTGGCAAGTTATACATCTACTGCGTATAATTCATATTTGTACATACACACAATACAACGTATCAGTTATGTACGTACGTACGTATGTAATTTGCACGCATTTACTTTATATGCTATAGTAAGTTATTTAAATTAGAATTAAATTAGAATTAAATTAGAAAGATAAACCACACAAAGAACTATACTATATCTTATAAACTATAATATACTGTAGTAAAAATGTAATACTGGAATTTTTTTAATTACGTATTACAGTATAACTACTGTATTATTTTTATATCTTTATTCTGAAGTATTTTTTCTTACAGTATATTGATTTATAATTATTTTGGGGAATTTCTACCATAGTATATACTGTACTGTATATACTAAAATATATATAACTATATATATTATAAGATATATTCTATATACAGTATATACTACAGTATATATATATGAAATCTAGATCCATCTAAAATAATCCCTTATCATCTTTTTTAATTGAAGATTTTTAAAATTATTATTTAATAGCTTAATATTATACAATACTATATACAATTAATTAAATAATGGAATTTTAAAATTGGGCCATGCCCATTTAATTACTTGGAAACTTTTAAGTAGACCCGGCTGGTTGGCTTTTTTTTCATATATAATATATATATAAAATATTTATATAAAATTTTTTAAACCCTTAAAACATGTTATAAAAATAAAAACCAATCATTGTTGAACTTCCCAAAACCGATCTTGTCAAAATTGATTGCCTGTCAAATCTGATAAAAAAAATTAATTTACAAAGTTCGTTTCCGTTATATAAACCTAGTAGTTTATACCATTTTCATAATTGATAACCTCTCAATATTGTTACAAAACATGCATATCGGTTTTGAGAGGTTCAACAGTAATTAAATTTTGCTTGGCTTTATATACAAAATTACTCTGACTGGCTAAAATCATAATAATCTCTAATTAATCGAAATGATTGAACTGCATCTCAATCACTAGCAAATCACATTGAGGAATCTTATGATCTGTAATAAGAATCGCTCGAGTCATTGTTTTTAATTGGTGAAAATTGAAAATGACTCGAAACACGCATATTTAATCAAGATAAGATTAATTTAGGTCTGCAAATTCGTTATACGTATTGAAAAATTTTTGACATAATTTGCGGTAAAGTCATATATTTGAGAAAAAATAATTCGTTGTGCTCAAGAAATTGTGCATATGTTTTTAATATGATGAAATTTGTTTTTAATATGATGAAATTTCTAATCACATTACCAAAATATACATGAATATTTGAATATATTTGTTTGATTAAGCTTTGCGTTTAACATTTAGGCATCTAATGGTGCGGTTTACCGACAATTACTCGACAACCACTTCCCCGACAACTATTTTTCAGCAAAAATATTTCCCCGCCATAACCAATTTCCCGACATCCATTTCACCGGCAATCACTTCTACGTCATGACCATTTCCCCAACAATCACGTCATGTTGGGAGATGATCATGTCGGGAAATGGTTATCGAGGAAATGGTTATCGGGAAAATGGTTATGGCGGAGAATATTTGTCGGGAAAATAGTTGTCGGGGAAGTGTTTTTAGAGTAATTGTCGGTAAACCAAATGGTGCATTTTTTTTCTTTAAATTTTTTCGTTATTTATTTAGTAATTTTTAATTTTATTTTTAATTTATTTTTTATCAATCGACCGATTTAAACTGACACATGTCATTTTCTTACTTTACAGATACAAATGTCAATCAATAATTGGCTACTTTATTCGATACTGAGATGGTTGCGTCATAAGAATTTAATGAATAGCCATGATAGTCATAATATTTGATAAAGATCGATATCAAAAATTTATCTCAATACTACTATGCACAGCATTATTAAAACAATAAAGCCACTAGCGAAGATTACCTATTCGCAAGACCTATTTAATAATTAAAAAGCAACAACATTAATTATATACATTACTTTAGTCGACCAGTTGTAAGATTTTGTACGTATAAACGTTTAGAACCTGCATTCAAAATTTTATCTAATTGAAGATTAAACGTATAAGATATATATAAATTATTACCCGAAATCATATCTGATTCATATTATCGGTAACTACGTATACATTTGAGCTCGGTGAATTAAGACCATTCGGTAATAATGTAGCAGTATAGTCAATATGTAATAATATCATATACTGCAGTACTGTATTGTGATGTTCTACCATTATAAAAAAACAATTATCGCACTAAAATCTTACGTTGCGAAACTAATCCTTGGTGATGCCTTAGTATTAAAATACATACATATATAAGGAAGATGCCGCATACAATCCGTGGTATTTTGGTATATGTATAAATATTGCCCGACAACCATTTCCCTGACAATATTTTCCCGACAACCACTTCCCCGACAACCCCTTCCCCGACATAGCTTTTTCCCGACATATCCTTTTCACCGACATACCCTTTTCTTAACATTTCCTTTTCCCGCCTTATCCTTTTCTTTGACATATCCTTTTCACCGACATACCGACATTCCATTTTCACCGACATACCATTTTTACCGACATTCCATTTTCTCCAACATACTCTTTTCCCCGACATATCCTTTTCCCCGACATACCCTCTTCTTGACATTCCCTTTTCTCGCCTTTTTCTTTGACATATTCTTTTCACTGACATACCGACATTCCATTTTCACCGACATACAGTTTTTACCGACATTCCATTTTCTCCGACATACTCTTTTCCCCGACATATGGGCAAAATCACCTTCCGACATTTCCGATCGGGCTAATTCGGACAAAAACAAAGCCGTGTATTAGTTCATGTTTATATGTAAACCCTTTTTGTCTTCATGGTTCAATAGTTTATAGAATAAAGTTTCGAATCAATAAAGCAAAAAGAGATTAAATATAAACGTGAACTAATATACGGATTTGTTTTTGTCCAAATTAACCCGATCAGAAATGTCGGAGGGTGATTTTCAAGGAAAAGACTCCATATCCTTTTCCCCGACACACCCTTTTCTTGACATTTCCTTTTCCCCGCCTATCCTTTTCTTTGACATATCGACATACCGACATTCCATTTTCACCCCGACATGCCCTTTTCTTAAGATTTCCTTTTCCCCGCCTTATCCTTTTCTTTGACATATCCTTTTCACCGATATACCATTTTTACCGACATTCCATTTTCACCGACATACCATTTTTACCATTTTCTCCAACATACTCTTTTCCCCGACATACCATTTTCCCTGAAGTTCGGGTCGTTCCACCGACAATGTAATTTGCTGATAATCAATTTACCGAATAGTTATTTTACCGACTCTTATTTTGCCGACAGTTATTTTACCTACCCATTATTTCACTGAAAGCCATTTCACCGATAGTCATTTTAATGACAGTCATTTCCGACAATCATTCCACCAATAATTATTTACATTAAAATTTCCGTAATATATAATAAGGTAGCTGCGCATATAGTTAACAAATGGTCCAAGTAAATGTAAATAGGAAATCTAATAAGAACTAAATAGCATATTTCAAATATATACTGGATTAATAAATTTGCGACATTGGCGGATAAGTATTATTTATTTCCCGCAACGGCGGGAATAAGAGGTACATCCCGGTCATCTGGGGGCCCGAAGGACCCACAGCAGGTGGAGATATTTCCCTGTGCGGCGAAATAAGGGTATTATTATTCGTTTTATAAGATGTCATGACGGAGTTTTATGACTCATAATCCTACTTTAATTAATAAAAAAAAAAACGAGTTTTTATCAACGCAAGTTATTTCCCCGGAAGTCCGGGAAATAACAAGCGCTGCCGAGGAAATAACTTGCATTGATAAAAACTCGGTTTTTTATTGATTAAAGTAGTGATTATAAGTCATAAAACCCTGTCATGCGATCATATAAAAACGTAGAATAATTATATGTTTATCTTTGGTAAATTTTATAGTTTATAATGTTTCTTATAAATGATTTTACTAAACCTTCAAGTTTTTAACTTAAAACATAAAAATCATGAGATTTTTCGCATACGTATTGTCTGTACTTTTTACAGCGTTACGTTCAAAATTAGGAGAGCAATATTTATGCGTTAAAATTAGCTTCGGACATAGCAAAAGTTACGTGGAATGAATGTTCTTTTTAGGGAATTCATATTTAATAATAGTAGGATCTTAAGGAAAGTAGAGACGTTATGTTTTATATAGTGATCAGACTATTACTTTCTGACATTCTTTGATATCTTTATTAATTAATTAGGGTAGCTGTGAAGCGTGCAACGCAGCATAGGACCAGTACGATATATGAGACAAGTTCAGAACATATGGGCTGCCGTCAATAGAAATCAGGCAGATCGACATTTTAAAAAAAAATCTATGCCTCAACTTTCACAGCTAATATATCGATGCATTTTGATGCGATTTTGATGATTAAATATTCAAAAGAAAGCTTAGAACTTATTCTTTCTTTTGAATATTAAATAATCAAGCTAGCTTCCAAATTCATCGAGATATGAGCTGTGAAAGTTGAGGTATGGATTTTTTTTAAAATGTCAATCTACCTGATTTCTATTGACGGCAGCCCATATGTTCGTGTAAAATAATATTTGCTAGTAATTTCAGGTGACTATTAAACAAGAAAAACAGATTTATTTTCTATCAATAACAGACTCGATATCATACATGCTGGGGTATCTAAACTCCAAATAAATATTTTTGCCTAAACTGGCCATTCACACCTTATAATAAATTACAAATTCATGACCCTGAAGTAACATGTTGTAAAGAAGCCACATAGTTGTAATGAAAATTGACTATATTATTTATTTGTAGGTAGGGTGCGGAACGGGCCAGCCCATCCCACACAATAGTTCTTTCACTGTAATTGCAGTCATGAAACTTAATCATCAAACAATAAGCCCTTGCATCTGGTATCTAATCATCAGACAAGAGGTTCTTGCATTGCCATATAGCCACGAAGCCCAATCACCCAACATAAGGTCCTCGCGCTGCTATCTTCGTGAATCACAAACAGGAGTTCCTTGCTTTGCCTTCGCAGCTGTAAAGCCTAATCACCAAACAAGAGGTTCTTGTATTGCTATTGTAGTTCATCTGACTTCTGAACTATTTTGTTGATTGTCAAATTACTTTGTATATTACTGTATTATAGGCCAAAGTGTAGTTTATAAATTTTATATCGTAATCTTCTAGACTTCGTACTCATAGTCCTGAATTTATTTTGCGCATTTTGTGACAGCAAATTATTAATAAAACTTTACTACTGTATAATGTAGTTTGCTTTGGAAACATTGTGACTTCTATTATGAATTACAGTCAAAATCCTTTTACATAACTTACTCGCTATTCCAGTAACAACAAAGTATGTTTAGATTGAATTAGTTTGTATTTGAAATATCGTAATTTCTATTATGAAATGCTTACAAAATTCCGGTACAGAACTTATATTTTGTGGCTAAAGCATGTAGTTGAATAAGTTGCATTGTGATTTCAATTGATTTCTATCATGAGTTACTTTGTTGCAGAACTTGCTATTCTAACCATGGTATGCAGTTAAGGTTGATTAGGATTATCGTAATTTCATTTGAGATACACGTCACTCTGGTTATATCGACATTTTTGAGACATTAATAAAAAAATTCAAAATGTCGATACAGTGAGTTATACCGACATTTTATATTAAATTTTTGAAAAAAAATGTCGGTATAGAAAGATTTTAGTATGATGTCGTTATATAACCAGAGTGATATGTACTGTAACTACAGTGTATGGTCATAGTTTGTATTAGGATCATTATAATTTCAATTATAAGCTATTGCAAAATATTCTCTAAAACTTACTCGCTAGCCCAATAACACATATATACGATTAATGTTGAGTTAATTTGTATCAGGATTATGATTTCTATTGTGAGTTACTGTAAAAATTCTGTTACTTGCTAATCTGGTGACTACGGTACCATATGTGATTAAGGTCAAGTTAGTTTGAATTAGAATTATCATGATCTCTACTGTAAAAAATTCTATAACAGAATTTATTCGCTATTCCGATGAGTCAGTTTACATTGGAGTTATTCTAATCTTTATGCAGTTAAGGTTGAGTTAGTTTGCATTGAATTTACCATAATTCTTATAATGAATTACTTTAAAATTCTGTTACAGAACTTACTATTCTGGTGACTATAGCATATGTGATTGATTTAGTTTAATTATTTCTATGTAATTAAGATTGAATTAGTTTGCATTAGAATTATAATTATTCATATCACGAATTGCTATAAAATTCTATTCAAACCTTACTATTCCAGTGACCAACGCATATAGAGTTAATTTGTATAGGAATTATCATAGTAATTATATTTAATTTGTGATTTCTACCATAAAAATTATGTCACAGAACTTATAGCGCTTGCTATTCCTATAACTACAGTATGTGATTAAGGTCAAATTGGTTTGCATTAGAATTATCATGATTCCTGCTGTAAAAAATTCTGCTACAGCATTTACTTGCCACTTTGATAACTATAAAGTTTAAAGTACTTTTCAAAAAAAAAGAAAACTACTACGAATAAACAAAAAGAAGTATATAGAAAGTTTTATTAGCGTTGTAGGACTCCACTATT